GTGTACTAAGACACACTACACAACACACCTCAAGTGTACTAAGACATACCACACAACTCACCTCAAGTGTACTAAGACACACTACACAACACACCTCAAGTGTACTAAGACATACCACACAACTCACCTCAAGTGTACTAAGACACACTACACAACACACCTCAAGTGTACTAAGACATACCACACAACACACCTCAAGTGTACTAAGACATACTTGAGTGATCTCTGGATTGGTTGCTTTGGCGTCGGTGTCTGTGATAGTCACATTCGTTCGGTGTATGTCGAAGATTAGTCGCAACCGCTCATTGAGATGACCATAACACACCGTGCCGAAGCCATGCACAAAAGGACCGAACTGTTTCACGTGTAGTGTACGTAAATGAAGGGAGCAATAAGAGTATGCACGAAGGGACCGAACTGTTTAACGTAGTGTACATAAATGAAGGGAGCAGTAAGAGTATGCACAGCACAAAATGACCGAACTGTCTAACGTAGTGTACGTAAATGCAGGGATCAGTAAGGGTGGCAGCTGAATAAGTATCAGTGCGTGTTATAGTACTGTTAAAAGATATGAACACACGGACCCAACTGTAAACATACACTTAGTCTACGTAAAAAATACACAACACACACACTTAGTCTACGTAAAAAATACACTACACACACACTTAGTCTACGTAAAACATACACAACACACACACTTAGTCTACGTAAAAAATACACTACACACACACTTAGTCTACGTAAAACATACACTACACACACACTTAATCGTTGTAAGACATACACAACACACACACTTAGTCGTTGTAAGACATACACAACACACACACTTAGTCTACGTAAGACATACACAACACACACACTTAGTCTACGTAAAACATGCACAACACACACACTTAGTCGTTGTAAAACATACACAACACACACACTTAGTCTACGTAAACATACACAACACACACTTAGTCTTTGTAAGACACACACAACACACACACATAGTCTACGTAGATCATACACAACACACACACTTAGTCTACGTAAACATACACAACACACACACTTATAGTCTACGTAAAACATACACAACACACTCACTTAGTCGTTGTAAGACATACACAACACACACACTTAGTCGTTGTGAGACATTCTAACTGACCTCCACGGCAGAGCCTGTCGTTCCAGCTAACCAACGGAACATCCGCTGCGCTATATCTTCAGAGGGCCAGGGCGTCTTCTGCACAAACAGCTTAAGAAAGTACGTCCTAACACACCACACACACCACACAGACCATGGGCAAGTGTATGAGGGTATGTGAGATGAGTGTATGAGAGTATGTGAGATGAGAGTATGAGAGTATGAGAGTATGTGAGATGAGAGAATGAGAGTATGAGAGTATGTGAGATGAGAGTAGGAGAGTATGTGAGATGAGAGTATGAGAGTATGTGAGATGAGTGTATGAGGGTATGTGAGATGAGTGTATGAGAGTATTAGTTGATAGCTAAAGACCACACACAACATGCCACGAGCAAGTGTATGAGAGTATGTGAGATGAGATTATGAGAGTATGCGAGATGAGTATATGAGAGTATGTGAGATGAGATTATGAGAGTATGTGAGATGAGTGTATGAGAGTATGTGAGATGAGTGTATGAGAGTCTGTGAGATGAGTGTATGAGAGTAATAGTAGATAGCTCAAGACCACACACACCATGCTATGAGCAAGTGTACGAGAGTATGTAAGATGAGTGTATGAGAGTATATAAGATGAGAGTATGAGAGTATGATTGTGAAAGTAAGTGTTACTACACCATACATGATATAAAAGGTCTAAGTGTAAGGCGGGCGTGAGTACTAAGAAGCGATTCCAACTTAGTATATACACACACACACATATATATATATAAAATATGCACTACCAGCTGCCGCTTTGTGTGTTACTTACACCACCAGCCAAATGAATACACACATATTACAATACAGACAGTGCGAGTGTTGTATACCTTTATATTTGTACAGATGTAGGTCAGAGAGTACGTTGAATCAACCTAATAATAGAACCCAAAACCCTAGAACAGCAGGGCAAAATGCGAAGTAGAACCAAAAGACACCCATAGCACCTCAAGCTTCAGATTTGGGCCAAAACTATGAGTACACACGAGAGGTAAATCAAACTTTAGATAGAACGAACACACACTTAGTCTAATATAGGACATACACACACTTAGTCTAATATAGGACAAACACACACTTAGTCTAATATAGGACAAACACACACTTAGTCTAATATAGGACAAACACACACTTAGTCTAATATAGGACATACACACACTTAGTCTAATATAGGACAAACACACATTTAGTCTAATATAGGACAAACACACAGTCTAATATAGGACATACACACACTTAGTCTAATATAGGACTAACCGAGCGGATAACCGCAAGACTCATACACTACGCGTACACATCGCCCTATTTGGACGTTCACGACAGAACATAATGCCGCGCGAATTGCCTTACTTGGGCAATTGCTGAGCTTTTCCAAAGTCGCTGCCCTTCTGCCTTCCCTGGTGAAACAGCCCGTACAGGGTCTCCAGTTGGCTCTCAGAAAACTTGGGTTTTCCCGCTGAAAAAACCGAGAGGTGTAATGGACGGTTAATAGGCGATATAATGTACAAAAACATTCAAATACACATGCACTAGCGCACGCATATGTACAACGAAGTATCAGGCCCTACCTATGTGGCACAAAGCAATCCTATTGATACCCACACATACCCACATACCTACATACCCACATACGCATATACCTACATACACACACACCTACATAAAAAAATACACACATACCCACATACACACATACCTACATACACAAATACATACATACACTCACATACACACTTACATACATACACAAATACCCACATATACCCACATCACATACACACACATACACATATATACACATACACACACGTCACATACACACACAAACAAATACAACACACACACACATCACATACACACACATAAACACACATCACATACACACACACAATACAAACACACACACATACACACACATACAAATACACATTCATTCACACACATACACACATACAAATACACACACATCACATACACACATACAAACACACACACAGACACACATACATACACATACACGCTCATCACATGCACACACATACAAATACAATTATAACACATACACACACATCATATACACACACATTACATACACGCACATACACACACATCCCATACACACCTATGGCTCGCAAGGCCGTCTTCTTGGCACTCTCCTCCATGGTCTGTACTACTCTTAGTCTCGCCTGATTGCGTAGGTGGGTGATGCGGCTGACACTCAGATGATCAAAGTCTGAGTACGCACACGCCACTATCTCACTCATCAGCGGCGTAGTGGATGGGGTGAAGCTGCAACGGCCACAGCGAGGGTGTGGTGTGTTGGAGTTAAGCTATATGTTGTGTGTATGGGTGTGTTATGTGTGTACGTGTATGTGTGTGTTATGTGTGTGCTATGTGTGCACATGTAGGTGTGTGTATGTGTATATTGTACGTTATCATTTGTTGTGTGTGTACATGTATATGTGTGTATGTGTGTGTGTATGTGTGTGTGTACATGTGCGTATGTGTGTGTTGTGTGTTAACATTTGGTGGGTGTATGTGTTTGCTGTGTGAGATTTATTTAATAAAGACAGGCCACACATGCGAGGGTTGGCTTATTGCGCTAAAGGGATGTCCTAATAGCTTTGAGGAAGTGCCACACGGTTTAGGGGATTTAAAGCACTAGAATCTGTATATAAACCCTAAGAACCCTAAAATAATAGAACCCTAAAACCCTGAACCTTGGATAAGACACAGGGCATGGTCGGACAGTACGTGAAAAAATACACACAATCAGATTCGTGTGTGACAGCAAATGTGAGGTGAACCAGTCAGGTGGTTGTTGGTGATGTCTACAATCCCCTTCAGAAGTATCAAATGGCAATTACCAGGTGTAGCTGCAACCACATAAAAACCCCCACACACACACACACACACACATATCTGTATATACAGAAACACACAGACACAGACACAACAGACATAACAGACATAATATA